GTAGTCCTACCAGGAATCCTCGTAGGAGTCCTAGTAGTCCTACTAGGAATCCTCGTAGGAGTCCTAGTAGTCCTACTAAGAGTCCTCGTAGGAGTCGCAGTAGTCCTACTAAGAATCCTCGTAGGACTCCCAGTAGTCCAACTAGGAATCCTCGTGGGAATCCTTGTAGGAGTCCTCGTAGGAGTCCTAGCAAGAGACCTCCGAACTGCCTCAAACACGCCGCCGACAGACATCCCACGATATCCCAACGGTCATCATCATCACCACCATCATCATCATCATCATCGTCATCGTCATCGTCATCATCATCACCATTCGCATCATCATCATCATCATCATCATCAGCATTTTCCTCATCATCGTCAGCATCGTCGTCATCATCCTCGCCATCATCACCATCATCAGCATCTTCCTCATCATCGTCATCCTCGACATCATCATCAACGTCATCGTCATCGTCATCATCGTCCTCACCACCATCACCATCATCATCACCATCACCATCACCATAATCGTGATCATCATCATCACCATCCTCACCATCTTCCTCACCATCCTCATCATTATCATCATCCTGATCATCCTCAGCGGGGCAGGCCGCAGGCAGCTGGATAAACCTCTACTCACCCTCCTCCTCATCCTCCTACTCTCGTCCCTCCTCCTCCTCATCATCATCGTCATCATCATCCGCATCTTTGTCCACATCATCATTATCGTCACCATCATCGTCACCATCATCGTCATCATCATCCACACCCACGTCATCCTCCTCATCATCATCCTTATCATGATCATCACCCTCATCATCATCATCATCGTCATCGGCATCATCATCACCATCCTCGTCCACCTCATCATCATCGTCATCATCATCACCAGCCACATCCACGTCGTCATCATCATCATCGTCATCATCACCACCATCATCATCATCAGCGTCATCGTCGTCGTCACCGTCATCGTCATCATCATCACCACTATCATCATTATAGGCATCGTCATCGTCATCGTCATCATCATCACCCTCATCACCATCACCATCGGCATCGTCATCGTCATCGTCGTCATCATCAGCATCACCACCACCACCATCATCATCATCATCATCGTCATCGTCATCGCCATCGTCATCGTCGTCATCATCATCATCATCATCATCATCATCATCCTGATCATCATCATCATCATCATCATCATCATCATCATCATCATCATCATCATCATCATCGTCATCATCATCATATCATGTTGCGCACCCCTCGCGAGTACGGCCTCCTTTGCCCCCTCGAACGAGCGGTGCCCAGCATCATGGCCTGGCACGGTGGCGGGACTTGCCGCAGGCAGCTGGTATTAACAAGCGCCCCCTCCCACAAGCTCCTTATTTAATCGCTTCGCTCATTCCGCCGGCCCGTATTGTGCCATCGCAGGCGTTTGCTTGCGCGTTCGTGGCCTCTTGGAGCCTCGTTGGGGCCGTTTGGGGCCTCTTGGCGCCTCTTTTTAGGCCTCTTGGAGAACTCGGGAGGCCTCCAGGGGGCCTCCTGAGCTCTCGTGACGGTCTCTTGGGGGGCTTTCGGCGGGCTCTTGGCGGTATTTGTTGGTCCTCTTGGGGCCTGGGGCCTGACGTTGTTGGTCCTCTTGGGGCCTCACGGGAGCTTATTGGGGCGTCTTGGGGGTGTCTTGGAGAGTCTCTTGGGGCCTCTTTCGGGGTCCTGGGCGCCTTCTGGGGCGGAGGGCTCGATTTTTCAGTTCTCGGTTCCCTTCTTGAGCCCCTCTTGGGCCCGTCTTGGGGCCTCTTGGTCCGCCTTGGGCAGCACTTGGGCCGTCTGGGGGGCGCTCTTGGGCCGCTCCGGGGCCGTCTTGGGAGCCTCGTGGGCCGTCTTGGAGCAGTCTTGAAGGCCTCTTGGGCCCTCTTGGAGCGTCCGGAAGCGAAAAGGCCAGAACGCAAAAAAACATAGAAAAAACAAATGAAAATCAACGATTTTGGCAACTTGGGGCCCTCTTCGGAGGCCTCTTGGAAGGCCCTTGGAGCGTCTTGGAGGCCTCTTGGGCTGTCTTGGGGCCATCTGGGGCGTCTTCGGGCGATCTTTGGCCGTCTCGGGCCTCTCTTGGACCGTCTAGAAAGCTTCTCGGGGCCCTCTTGGACCGATCTGGAGCCCTCTTGGACTCCGAAACAGAACTCCGGCATCTCTGACCCGACCTTGCCGGGACCTTGCCGGGGACTTGCCGGGGACTTGCCAGGACCTTGCCGGGGTACTTTTCGTCCGGGGACCCCCAGGGGCCGCCCCGCGCGCGCGAACTAGAAATACTGTTAACCAGGTACCGGAGATCTTAGCACGCCCTGGCCCGTTGGGCCGGCGAATTAATAAGCACCCCCATCCCAGGCGACCAGCGAAGAGGGGGGGCGCGAATCGACAATCCGAGCCTTCCGCCCGAAGAGGCCCCCAGGAGGCACCAAGAGGCCTGCAAGAAGCCCCAAGAGGCCCCCAGGAGACCCCTAAAGAGGCCCCTAGACGGCTACCAAGAGACCTCCGGACTGCCTCAAACACGCCGCCGACAGACATCCCACGATATCCCAACGGTCATCATCATCATCACCACCATCATCATCATCATCATCATCATCGTCATCGTCGTCGTCATCGTCATCGTCATCATCATCACCATTCGCATCATCATCATCAGCATCTTCCTCATCATCGTCATCATCGTCGTCATCATCCTCGCCATCATCACCATCATCAGCATCTTCCTCATCATCGTCATCCTCGACATCATCATCATCGTCATCGTCATCGTCATCATCGTCCTCACCACCATCACCATCATCGTCATCACCATCACCATCATCGTCGTCGTCATCATCATCATCATCATCATCATCATCATCATCATCATCATCATCATCATCATCATTATCGTCGTCGGCGGCCTCGTCCTCATCCTCCTCCGCCACGCGTCCCGCCAATGTCCCTCTACCTCCCTGCCCCTCCCACCGGGCGGGCACGCCAGGCGGCGCGCGGGGGTGGAGCGACGACACCGATGACGACGACGACGACGACGGCGGCGACGACGACGACGGCCATCCTCGCCCCAAGCCTCAGCCACCCTGTCCTCGTCCTCCACATCATCGTCCTCCGCATCGTCGTCTTCGTCATCCTCGTCCTCCTCAACCGCATCGTCATCCTCCTCCTCCTCGTCATCATCATCAGCATCCTCGTCCACCTCATCTTCATCATCGTCATCATCAGCCACATCCACGTCAATCTCCGCCTCATCATCACCATCATCGTCATCATCACCATCATCAGCATCAGCATCATCCTCATCATCGCCATCATCATCAGCATCCTCGTCCTTATCCTCTTCCTCCTTCTTCTCCTCCTCCTCCTCCTCCTCCTCTTCCTCCTTCTCCTCCCCGCACTCCTCTCCCTCTTGTGGTCGTCCTCCCCATGATCCTTTCCCTCCTCGTCCTCCTCCTCCTCCTCCTCCGCCTGAGAGGCCGCCTGAGATCCCCCAAACATCCTGATAACACCCTAAAGGCCCCCAGGAGGGCTCCAGGAGGCTTCAAAAGTGCCGCGAAAGCATCGCACCACGTGTTCCTCTGTTGCTCTCGAGGTTCTCCTGTGTTGCTCTGTTGCTGTTGCTGGGGGGGGGGTCGGCCGGGCGCCAGTGAGTGTTTTCGTCAACAACGACAACAGCTACAGCAACAGCTACAGCAACAGCAACAGTTACAACAATGATCATGTTGAGACTGTTCGCTCCAGTCTGATCGCGTGCCATTCAACACGTGTATCCCAAACCCTCGGTACCCGCCCTCTCCATTTTCAATCGTTCCCCCTTTGGGCTATGTCTTCCTTACCTGCCACGCGCATTCAGCGCAGCTCCTAAAACATTGGCAGAGCGAGCGGATCGAAGGGGGAGGGAGAAGGATGGTGCACGAGATAAATTAGCAGGAGGGGGGCTAAAACACGTGGCAGAACCAGACGGGCTGATCGGGCGGGCAAACCCTAGCGGGCGGGTCGGGAAGGCGGGCCCAGGTGGCCAGGTCGAGCAGGCGGGTCGCTGAAGCGTGAATCCAGCATGAATCGCGAGAAACTGTTGTCTTCCAACGGGGCTCTTCCCGCAGTGAGAAGAAACCTTTATAGGAGCCAATAAAGGGGGAACTTGGAAGGAGGGTTTGTTGCAACATCGTTGATGGGTCCTGGGTTTACACTGGTCTTCCTCCTCCTCCGCCTCCTCCTCCTCTGCTTCCTCATCCGCCTGTCCCCCCTCCTCCCCTCTAATCCTCCCCCTCCCCCTCCCCCTCCCTCCTCCTCCCCCTCCTCCTCCTCCTCCTCCTCCTCCTCCGATTGCTCCTTCATCCTCCCCCCTTGGGGTATAACGGCTTCCCCAGCCTTTTATTCACTGCATGCTCCTCAACATCCCTGGTCAGGGCAACTCGCCTGGGCATCGGTTCTGGATGGGCTGGTGGGATTGCGCGAATCGTCTAGAATTGACTACTGCTCGCTCTCGCATGCTCGCGTGGGGCTCAACATGAATATACCAAACCCTCGAAACCAGACCTCGTCGTGTTTGATCGTACCCCCTTTGGGGGGTATGCCTTCTTTCCCTGCCACATACCACCAGCGCGGCCCTTAAGACAGGAAGAGCATAAAAAATGGAAATGCGAGAGGGCGAGGAGGGAGGAAGTGGAGGAAGGGACAGAGGAGAAGGGAAAGAGGCAAGAGTGGGGAGAGAGAAGGTGGAGGACGAGAGGGGTTAGGGAGAGGATGGGGCTGAATAACCACACGCAACTGGGACACCCATTACATCAAAAACGAGATTGACACGCCTGTGCGAGCAAACTGAAGCACGGCGCAGTGCTGGCAAAACTCAGGTGCGCTCACGAACCGTCGCCCGGAGAGGACCGCACGGATGATTCTTCAATCTTCGAGAACACAGAAAAGCAAGAGGAAACACAAGAAGGATTCACAGCACCCGCACGGAGAGAGCGGCACGGCCTTAACCCTTCCGCCAAACTCGGCGTCTCCGGGGTCCACCTGAGGAGAAGGCGGGCATCTCTCCAGGCACAGTCGCGATCCAGCTCGCCCTATCCATTCGCGCCGCGACCAGAACCAGAAACGAGCCGTCAGTACAGTCGGACTTCATGAGACAGGACACGCGAGAGGACAAAAGACCCTTCCGAGGGCCACATTGCCATAGGAATGCAGGAGGCATGGGTCGTAAGACACAGGACATAAAGGTACCCTTGATTTGGCAGGGTCGACCTACTAATCCGGGCCGACTGTACGAAACACAATTAAGCAAGAATCCTGCAATGTTTCCTAAACGCGCGTGCCGCCGCCGCCGACAACAGAAACGGCCCATCCAGTCCACAAACTGTGCGCTCATTGGGAGCAGAAGCAAACCACATCTGCGGGCAAGTCCTTCGAACAATACGCCAGGTCTAACTCAATCTAATGCTGGGGATGCGGTGGGACGATCCGGGACGCCAAGGCCCCTTAGGAGGGAAGTTCTGGGAAATGCGGCTGAGTGCCCGACCAAACCTCGTCGGGGCCCGTCGACGTACAGTTTCCCTCTGCTCATACTGGGAGGACAGAAGAAACCACCCTCATAATCAGCACCCCAGTGAGCGAAGCCTTAGTAAACGCACCCAGGGGAGGGGAGGGATCGAATAGGACAGGACTGTTTGGTGAACGCCAACCGCTGCTTAGTAAACGCTGATTGTGGGGTCGGGGTACTTTTTCCTCCCTGAAACACTGTAGGCTCCGCGAGACCAGCGGGCGCCCTGCTGGAGAAGAGTTCCTGCCCCCCGCCCCCCTGGCTCTACGAGCAGGATCGCCACTGGGGCGAGGAGAGGCGCAGAGGAGCAATCAGAACGCCCCAGACGGCCACAAGATTGCCCCCAGAGGCCCCATGACAGCCCCAAAGATCGCGCGAGGCCGCAAGACTGCCCCGATATTTGACCCACCGAGGTCCCGGCACGGCCCCCAGACGCTTGATGCTTCTTCTGTTGCGCCGGCGAACATGAAGGGGCCCAAGGACACACAAATAAATACACACAAAGAAAATAATCCCATATATTTTCCTATATTTTCTGGGTTTCTGTCTTCCCGCCCACTTCCCATATTGTCCCATATTTTCTGGGAAATCGAGGATTAATTGTCTGTGTGTTTCTTTCCCTCCTGAGAACAGCCCAGCTGCAGCCCCGCTGCAGCCCTGCTGCAGCCCTGCAACTGCCCAGGGGCCGATTGCTGGCAGCAGCCCTCCTCCTCCTCCTCCTCCTCCTCCTCCTCCTCCCCTCCTCCTCCTCCTCCTCCTCCTCCTCCTCCTCCTCCTCCTCCTCCCCCTCCTCCTCCTGCTCCTCCTCCTCCTCCTCCTCCTCCTCCTCCTCCTCCTCCCTGCGCTGCAGCCCTGCTGCAGCCCTGCGACCGACCAGGAGCGGGCAGCGGCCCCCCCAGGGCCCGCCTGCACGCTCGCCCTCCCCTGCGCCTCGGCGGCCCCCGCGCCGACCAGCCGGCCGAGGAAGCTGCCGCGGACGCCGCCCTGGCGGCCGCCAGTGCAGAGGAGGACCTCCTCCTCCTCCCCCTCCTCCTCCTCCTCCTCCTCCTCCTCCGTCAGCGTCAGAGTGGATGGGTATGGCGGCCTTGCGGCCTTCAAAGGCTTCAGAGCTGTTGTTTACGATTCCTACTCGTCGTCGTCCTCGTCGTCGTCGCCCTCCTCCTTCGTCTGCTCGTCCTGTTCCTCTGTCGTCCTCAATTTCTTCCTTCTCGTGCTTCTCGAATCGTCCTCCGAAAGCTCTTTCTTCGTCCTTATCCTTCTCCATGTAGAGGATCCATGCAGGGATTCCTTCTGTTTGGGGTGCGACACATTCCGTTGTATGGGCGGATTACAATAGATTTGTCGTGCTGGCGGTAGAAACCAAAAACACACAATGAAAAACAATCACACAAAAATCAAAGACCGTCGGCTGGAAAACCAAAATAAACACAAGGAACAACCAAACAAATTGAAACAACAGAATTCGATACCTAGTGGGAGAGGCGCGGTGGGGGTCCACGAAATACTGAAATCTTTGGATTTGTTGTTTTTTAATGATTTGGGTGTTTCCTGTTTTTTTGGGCTTCCAGCCAACGGTCTTTGATGTCTTTGCTTTTGTTGGTTTTTCACTGTGGCTTCTAAGTTTCTCGCTTCCCTCCTCCCCCCTGGGACGCGGACGGCGGGAGGGGAGGAGCAGGAGGAAACGGGGGGGTGGGGGGAGGGGCAGGAGGAAAGGGAGGATGGGGGAACAGGACGACGGTGACTCAGAAGGGAACCCAGGAAGGGGCCCCAGGCCCTCCCCGCGGAACCACAACAGGATGCACCACAGAACCAGCCGTTTCTCGGAAGTCTTCCGCGCGAACGAACAGGGGGCCACGGGACGAAACAGAGGAGCGGGGCAGCGGCCGAGGGGCACCCATTTATGGATGCCCCTCTCTACCGCAGGAACGCTGAGGACGGAAGGCGGCGGCAACGACGCCACGCAGGCAACCAACAATCCGACCAGCCATAACTGGGGGAGTTGTGGTCCTTACCCCCCTGGGGGAACCCATCGCATCGACGATCTCTCGAGGGGGGTAAGGACCACAGCTCCCCCAGTTGTGGCTGGCCTGACAATTGGGGAACCCAACAAATGGGCTCCCCGCACCTCGCCCGAACAGCAATGCCACGTAGATGCACGCGTTCGGTGGCGAACCGTGGGCCGCTGGAAACCGGCTGCTCCTCAAAGCGCACGGGCTCCGTGGTGCCCACGGGCGCTGCGGTGTGGGGGGGTTCTGTGGTGCGACGAGGCACTGAGTGCGACAGAGGCATTGCGGAGCGCACGGCCGATGCGAGATACGACAATCGTTGTGGCGTAGACGGCCCTCATGTGCACTTGGCTGCTGCCGTGCAAGCGGGCGCAAAGGACCGTTCGCGCAGCAGTGTGCGTGATGCGGCATTCCTCTGATCGTAGCTGTTTTGGGGCTCCATATCAGCAACGCGCTTGCGCCCTCTGGAAATTGTAGTGGTAATAATGGCAATGCTAATGGCAGTGGCAATGGCAATGGCCATGACAGTGTGGCAATGGCAATGGCAATGGCAATAGTAGTGGTAATGGCGACGGTAATGGTAATGGTAATGGTAATGGTAATGGCAATGGCAATGGTAATGGTAATGGTAATGGCAATGGCAATGGCAATGGCAATGGCAATGGTAATGGTAATGGCAATGGCAACGGCAACGGCAATGGCAATGGCAATGGCAATGGCAATGGCAATGGCAAGGGCAAGGGCAAAGGCAATGGCAATGGCAATGGCAATGGCAATGCCAATGATAATGGTAAAGGTAATGGTAATGGTAATGGTAATGGTAATGGTATTGGGAATGGGGATGGGAATGGTAATGGTATTGGGAATGGGGATGGGAATGGGAATGGGAATGGGAATGGGAATGGGAATGGTGAATGGTAATGGTAATGGTAATGGTAATGGTAATGGTAATGGTAATGGTAATGGTAATGGTAATGGTAATGGTAGTGGTAATGGTAATGGTAATGGTAATTGTAATCGCAATGGTAATGGTAATGGTAATGGGAATGGTAATGGAAATGGTAGAATGGTAATGGAAATGGTAATGGCAATGGCAATGGCAATGGCAACGGTAATGGTAATGGTAATGGTAATGGTAATGGTAATGGTAATGGTAATAATGATGGTAATGGTAATGGTAATGGTAATGGTAATGGTAATGGTAATGGTAATGGTAATGGTAACGGAAATGGTAATGGTAATGGTAATGGTCATGGTAATGGTAATGGAAATGGTAATGGTAATGGTAATGGTAATGGCAATGGTAACTGTAATGGTGATGGTGATGGTAATGGCAATGGCAATGGTAATGGTAATGGCGATGGCGATGGCGATGGCAATGGTGATGGCAATGATAATGGTAATGGTAATGGTAATGGTAATGGTAATGGTAGTGGGAATGGTAATGGTAATGGTAATTGTAATCGCAATGGTAATGGTAATGGTAATGGGAATGGTAATGGGAATGGTAATGGAAATGGTAGAATGGTAATGGAAATGGTAATGGCAATGGCAATGGCAATGGCAACGGTAATGGTAATGGTAATGGTAATGGTAATGGTAATGGTAATGGTAATGGTAATGGTAATAGTGATGGTAATGGTAATGGTAATGGTAATGGTAATGGTCATGGTAATGGTAATGGTAATGGAAATGGTAATGGTAATGGTAATGGTAATGGCAATGGTAATTGTAATGGTGATGGTGATGGTAATGGCAATGGCAATGGTAATGGTAATGGCGATGGCGATGGCGATGGCAATGGTGATGGCAATGATACTGGTAATGGTGATGGTAATGGTAATGGTGACGGCTGTGGTAATGGTGATGGCAATGGCAATGGCAATGGTAATGGCAATGATAATGGGAATGGCAATGGCAATGGTGATGGCAATGGCAATAGCAATGGTAATGGCAATGATAATGGGAATGGCAATGGTAATGGCAATGGTGATGGCAATGGTAATTGCAATGTCAATGGTCATGGTCATCGTCACGGTAATGGCAATGGTAATGGTAATGGCAACGGCAATGGCAATGGCAACGGCAATGCAATGGCAATGGCAATGGCAATGACAATGGTAATGGCAATGGTAATGGCAATGGTAATGACAGTGGCAGTGGCAATGGCAATGGCAATGACAATGGTAGTGGTAGTGGTAGTGGTAGTGGCAATGGTAACGGTAATAGTAATGGTAATGGTACTGGTAATAGTAATACTAATGGTCATGGCAAGGGCAATAGTAATGGCCATGGAAATGATAATGGCAATGGTAATGGTAATGGTGATGGCAATGGCAATGGCAATGGCAATGGTGATAATAATAATAATGGTCATGGCAGTGGTAATGGTAATGGGAATGGGAATGGTAATGGTAATGGCAATGGCAATGGCAATGACAATGGCAATGGTAACGGTAGTGGTAGTGGCAATGGCAATGGCAATGGCAATGGTAATGGTCGTGGGCATGGTAATGGCAATGATAATGGCAATGGTAATGGTAATGGTAATGGCAATGGTAATGGCAATGGTAATGGCAATGGTACTGGTAACGGTAGTGGTGATTGTAAAGGTAATGGCAATGGCAATGGCAATGGCAATGGTAATGGAGATGGTAATAATGTTCATGGCAATGGTAATGGCAATGGTAATGGCAACGGTAATGGTAATGGTAATGGTAATCGTAATGGTAATGGTAATGGTCATGACAATGGTACTTGCAATGGCAATGGTGATGACAATGGTAATGGTAATGGTAATTGTAATGGTAATGGCAATGGCAATGGCAATGAAACTGAACATGGTAATGGCAATGGTAACGGTAATTGGAATGGCAATGGTAATGGCAATGGTAATGGTAATGATAAAGGGTAAATGTAACGGTAATGTTAATGGTAATGGCAATGGCAATGGCAATGGCCATGGTAACGGTACGGGTAATGGCAATGGTAATGGCAATGGCAATGGTAATGGTAATGGTAATGGCAATGACAATGGCAATGGCAATGTCAATGGCAATGGCAATGGTAATGGTAGTTGTAACGGTAACAGTAATGGTAGTGGCAAAAATAATGGTAATGGTAATAGCAATCGTAATGGTAATGGTAATGGTAATGGTAATGGTAATGGTAATGGTAATGGCAATGGCAATGGGAATGGTAACGGCAGTGGTAATGGTAATGATCATGGCAATGGCAATGGCAATGGTAATGGCACTGGCAATGGTAATGGTAATGGTAATGGCAATGGTAATGGCAATGGCAATGGCAATCGTAATGCTAATGGCAATGGCAATGGTAATGGCAATGTTAATGGACATGGTAATGGTAATGGTCATGGTAATGGTAATGGCAACGGCAACGGTACTGGCAATGGTAATAACGATGCCCGTGGGTGATGAGGATAATGATGAGGTATAAGAGGGGGAGGAGGAGGAGGAGGAGGAGGAGGAGGAGGAGGAGGAGGAGGAGGAGGAGGGGGAGGGGGAGAGGGAGGAGGAACAAGAGGAAGGGAGGAGCACCGAGCACGGAGGAGGGCCGAACGGCCGCCATACCCATCCAGTCTGGTGCCCCTCCGTCCTCCCTCGCTCTCCTTCCGCCCTCCTCCCCCGTGGAAGCAGGGCGCCGAAGCCAAGGCCGTGAAAGATGCTCAACCATAAACGGACGTGGTGGTGGTAGCGGTGGTGCGTTAGGACCCCACTGCGGTGCGCGGGGGAGGGGGGGGAGCACTTCTGGGGCAGTCTTTCCTCCTCCTCCTCCTCCTCCTTCTCCTCCTCCCGCCCTCATTCGCTCGGCATGGGGGCGCATCCTTTCCCGTAGTCATCCTCCGCCTCCTCCTCCTCCTCCTCCTCCTCCTCCTTCTCCTCCTCCTCCACCTGCTCCTCATCCGCCACACTTCACCCCTACTCCTTCTCCTCATGTTAGCGATCCCCGTTCCCAGCGACTTTTGGTCGGAGAGTTCAGCGAAGCGCCAGACAAACGACGGGCCAGGCGAGTTTCAGCTCGCCCGCCTCCAAACGACGCAACAAGGCGGGCTGCGCGTCCGTCGTCTTGCGCTCAGCACCGACTGCCTCCAGGCGAGCCCAGAATCGAGTCAATAAGTCGAATCCGCGATCGAAATGAATCGGATCGGCGGAAATCGGCAGACGAGTCAGGAGAAGTCGAATCGGGGGACATCGGCCGGCTGGCAGGGCTCCGTTGAGAAATCGGAGCCCAGATCGGAATCTAAAGTCGAATGAGATCGGATTCGGAAGCCATCGAGATCGAATCCAATCCTATCGGAGGAATCGGACACGAGCCTCGTACCTCCTGGAGTGCCTCTGAGCGGCCCCAAGAACGGATCGGAATCTAAAGTTGAATGACATCGGATTCGGAAGCCATCGAGATCGAATCCAACCCTAGCGGAGGAATCGGACACGAGCCTCGTACAGTCGGGGCCTTGACCTGAGGAACCCAACATGAGGAGCGAGGCCCCTTTCTCCCATAAGCTGAACCTCGATTTCACATGGAAAAAACCTCAAGAAAACAGAAGGCAAACGGTCGAACAATCAGGAACTACCTCCCCATCCTCCTCCCCATCATCCCCCTCCCTCTCTTCCTCCTCCTCCTCCTCCTCCTCCTTATCATCCTCCTATTCCTCCTCCTATTCCTCCTCCTATTCCTCCTCCTCCTCCTCCTCCTCCTCCTCCTCCCCAACGAAAAGGGCTCCCTCCTCGGGGCCCCGAGCTGTACCTCCTTGGAGTGCCTCCGAGCGGCCCCCAGAGCGGCGCGCCGAGACGGCCCGGCGCCCTCCCCCTCTGCCGACGGCCAGGGCCCCCAAAGCGGGAGCCCACAAGACTCTCAGTAGAGGAGGAGGAGGAGGAAGAAGAGGAGGAGGAGGAGAAGGAGGAAGAGGAGGAGGAGCAAGGAGGGAGGAGGAGGAGGAGGAGGAGGAGGAGGACGGCTCGCCTAAGCTAGATGCCTCCTAGATGGGGTCGGAGTAGATGGGGTCGGAGGATCGCGCCACGGAGGGAGGAGGAGGAGGAGGAGGAGGAGGAGGACGGCTCGCCTAAGCTAGATGCCTCCTAGATGGGGTCGGAGTAGATGGGGTCGGAGGATCGCGCCGCATCGCTGATACATCGGCGATACATCGGCGATGCATCGGCGATGCATCGGCGATGCACCAGCGATCCATCGGCGACGTGGGCGATGAATCGGCGACGTCGACGTGAAGCAAATCGGGCTCCGCATCGAGCCGCACCGGCGATGCATCGGCGATGCAACGCGATCCTCCGACCCCATCTACTCCGACCCCATCTAGGAGGCTTAGACTCAGGGGACGAAGAAGATCTGAGCGGGAGCCAAGACGAGGATAAGATCGGGCGAGGGTACAGTGAGGGTCTTGACCCAAGGAGCCATAGATAAGGAACGAAGCCCCTTTTTTCCAAGTAAGCCCATGCAAACCTAAGGACACCTTGTTTTTCCAGGTAGCGGAACGCATGCAAACCTAAGGAACGACCGAGCCCCTTTTGAAAAGGAAGTGTTCCTTACTCAAGGCTTTCACTGTATATCGAGAATCTCTGAGATCCGGCGGCTCTGGAGGATGTCTGGGGCACCGCGGCCTCCTCAGAGCGCTGCGGACCGCTTCGAGGGCGTGCTGGAACTCCGGGACGCTCTGGAACGGATTCCTCGTCCCAGCCCCGTCCGAAGATCACCTCTCCAATCATACGGAACGTCCCCGCAAATCTGAAGATGTCCCAGCTGTCCCATAGCTTTCCCTCAGGCACTGCTGATTTCCTTGCGATTTCCAGAGGGATCCTCGGGATTACCTTCAGGATCCTGTGGGCTCCCCATGGAACCCAGCGGGTTTCTCAAGTTCTCCCTGAAATTCTTCAGGAACCCAAAGGATTTCTTCAGGAATCCTCCTCATGAGTCTAAAAGAATTCCACGGGAATCCTCTGGGCTTCCTGAGGAGACCTGAGGACGCCCTCAGCAATCCTGGCGAAGCTTTCTAGAATCCCACACACTAATCGAGAGCCCGAAGAAAAATCTCCCTGATGATCATGTCACTAGGACTGCCCACGGGATCCTGAAGCCCTACGGAACTCTATTGGAGCTCCTGGGATATCCTGCGGAATACGTGTGGAGCCATCAGGATTCCCTACGGAATCCGGAGGATTTCCCTGGGAATCCCGAGGATTGTCCGCCACCGGTCGCAGAGCGACGCCCCCCCGCTCGACGCGACGCAGCTTCCCCGCGCGAGGCACCTCCTGCCAGCGTGCGCGCGCCCGGTCGCGCAGCGAAGAAGCGCCGAGCCACTGGCGGAGCGAGACCCCGCGCTCGGGAGCGGCCAAGAGGGGGGCGTCCAAGAGGGGGGGGGGTGCAAATCATGACCAGCGGCATGTGCGCGGCCCAGCGGGGGGGCCAGGGACGTACTGAAATAAGAAGAGGCGCCATGAAATCTGAGGAAATATCATGGCCCCCGCCATGATATCCACCCCCCCCTAGTCATCACCCCCCTCTTTTCCGCCCCCGACGCGCTGCTCACAGGCCGAGATCCCCGCCGTTGCATCCGCGCGCCGCCGCCCGCGCGCGCAGCGCCCACTCGCACAGCGAGGCGCCACCCCCGTCGCGGAGCGAGGCCTCCCCCGACGCGCGGCCCCCGGCCGCGCAGCGGGGCGATGCTGCGGCCGCGGGGCGAGGAAACCCGCAGATCGCGGAGCGAGAGCCGCGCGGATGCGACGCTGGACGCCTGCCGCCCCACTTCAGGGGGGCCGCGTGAAGGCAGAGGGGATGGAAGAATAGGGGGCCACATGCGAACCCTACCCCTACCCCCTACGAATTCTGAAGGGGAGGGTGGGGTTCACTTCGCTCGGGAGCTCCCGAGAGAAGTGAACCCCACCCTCCCCTTCAGAATTCGTGAGGGGGAGGGGTAGGGTTCGCATGTGGCCCCCTAAAGAAGTGTCTTGTCGGGCGCAGGCGGGGCAGGGGTCGGCGGAGCCGGGGCATGGGCGACTCGAGCATCCCAAGCCCAGCAATCATGATGAAGGGTTGGGATGCGTGCGGGCGCTTCCTGGCAGTCCCTTCCGAGCCTTCGTCCTCCTCCTCCTCCTCCTCCTCCTCCTCCTCCTCCGCAACCACCATATCCCCCTCCTCCACCTCACCATCCCTCCCCGTGCTGGCGGCGCGATGCCGATGCCAGGAAGCTGCCGCCCATGAAGCTGGTGCGGCCCCCAGTGAAGGAGTCGGTGGGCGCCCCTCCGGTCTGCAGCAGCGAGAGCTTGTCCGAGGACCGCGAGGCCAGGAAGGTCACGGAGCTGGGCGCAGAGACGGCAGCGGCCAATCAACGGGCAGGAGCTGAGCAGAGGAACAAACAGAGGGGGAAGGAGGGGGGGGCTGGGGAGAATCGAAGGTGAGGGGGTGAGATCGAAGTGGAACGGCGAGCCCCCCTACCGGGAAATCGGTTTTGGTTTTGTGTTCGTGCGTGACGTGCGCGCGGGCGAGGCGAAGCTGCGTGGGCGGGCGAGAAATGTCCCGCCTCTGGCTGAGGCGCGGCCGGACCACAAGTCTCCCTTCCGGCAACCGATGCCGCGCGGTGTCCCGCCGGTGTCCCGTCGGTGTCCCGATGATGCTGATGATGATGATGACGATGTTGGTGATGATAATGATGATGGCCGTGGTGGTGATGATGTTGGTGTCCCGATGATGGTGATGATGATGAGGTTGGTGATGATGATGGTGCCCCGATGATGATGACGAAGATGATGGTGGTCAATGTTGATGTTGATGATGATGAGATGATGAGATGGTGATGATGATGAGCATGAAAATAATGGTGCCCAGATGATGATGATGATGATGTTGATGATGATGACGATACTGATTATATTGATGGTGATGATGGTGGTGATGATGACGGTGTCCCGATGATGGTGATGTTGATGAGAATAATGACGATGATGGTGTCCCGATGATGATGATGATGATGTTGATGATGAGTATGATGATGAGGTGATGATGATGTTTTTGATGGTGGTGGCCCGATGATGATGGTGATGACGATGATGTTGATGAGGATGATGTTGCTGATGATGATAATGATGATGGTGTCCCGATGAAAATGAAGTTGATGATGTTGTTCATGATGAGGATGAAATGATGATGATGGCGGTGTTCAAAGTATGATGATGATGATGATGGTGTCCCAATGATGATGATGATGATGTTGATGATCCTCATGATGTTGATGTTGATGCTGATCTTGATGTTGATGATGATGGTGCCCAAATGGTGATGATGATGAAGTTGATGACGATGTTGATGATGATGATGTCGCTGATGAGGATGTTTCCCGATGGTGATAATGTTGATGATGATGGCGATGATGGTATTCGATGATAATGATGACGTTGATGATGAAGATGATGATGAGGTGATGATGTTTTCATGGTGGTGGCCCGATAATGATGATGATGATGGTGATTATGATGATGATGATGTTGATGGTGATGATGGTGTCCCGATGATGATGATGATGATGATGATGATGATGATGATGATGGTGATAATGCTGGTATCGGTGATGATGGTGTCCCGATGATGATGCTGATGATGATGTTGCTGACGATGATGATGGTGTCCCGATGATGATGATGTTGACGATGTTGTTCATGATGATGATGCTTCTATGATGATGGTGATGATGATGGTGTCCATATGATGGTGATGATGGTGATGATGATGACGTTGATGATTATGATGCTGACGATGATGGTGCGCTCGATGATAATGATGATGATGATGGTAATGATGATGTTGATGATGATGGTAACGAGGTGATGATGATGATGATGATGGTGTCCCGATGACGATGATGATGTTCATGACGTTGATGACGATGATGTCGATGATGATGATGATGATGATGATGATGATGATGATGCTGATGATGATGATGATGATGATGATGACGTTGATTGTGAGATCGATTCTAATATCGATAGTGATATCGACCGTGAGACCGAATGCGAGATAGACTGTGAGATCGATAGTGGGATCGATAGTGGGATCGATATTGAGATCGATAGTCATATCGATTGTGAGAACGATCGAATGAAATGAAAGAGCGTGTTCTACCGCTGCTGGCGGAAAACCGGGGGGGGTCACTACCGGTTCGAACCCCTCCCCCCCCCCTCTGGAAAACCGGGGGGGGTCACTACCGGTTCGAACCCTTCCCCCCCCCCGCTCATCATGAAAAGGGGGGGGGCCACTACCGGTTCGGACCCCCCCCCCTTCGAACTCGAAAACCGGGGGGGGGTCACTACCGGTTCGAACCCCCCCCCCCTCGAAAACCGAGGGGGGGTGCAGACAGTGGTGGGGACGGTGGTGGTGGGGACAGTGGTGAGGGGACAGCGGGACAGGGGTGGGGACAGTGGGACAGTGGTGGGGACGGTAGTGGTGGGGACAATGGTGAGGACAATGGTGGGAACAGTGGGGACAGTGGGACAGTGGTGGGGACGGTGGCGGTGGGGACAGTGGCGTGGGGACAGTGGGAAGATGGTGGAAACAATAGGAGAGTGGAGGGTACAGTGGTGGTGGGGACAGTGGTGAAGGCGGTGGCGAGGACGGCGGTGGGACAATGGGACAGAAGTACAGTGGGGACGGTGGTGGCGACAGTGGCGGGGACAGTGGGGACAGTGGTGGGAACAGTGGGACAGCTCAGTGGGACAGCGGAGGAGTCAGTGGGACAGTGGGGACACTGGGAATAGTCGTGGAGAAAGTTGGGAGAGTGGAGCCGTGGTGGGAACAGTGGTGGGGACAGTGGGGACAGTGCGACAGTGGTGGTGGCACTGGTGGGACAGTAGGGGCGGTGGCGGAACCAGTGGGGACAATGGTGGTGAGGATGTACAGTGGCGCTGGGAACAACAGTGGGGGATGTGGTGAGGACGGTGGTGAGGACCGGGAGTCGTTTGCTGGCGGTGAGAGGGGGGGGGGGAGGGGTTCGAACCGGTAGTGGCCCCCCCCTCCGGTTTTCGAAGGGGGGGTTCGAACCGGCACTGACCCCCCCCGGTTTTCGAGGGGGAGGGGGGGGGGGAGGGGTTAGGGGAGGGGGGGGTTTGCCGGGGGCGGGGGAGGGGGGGGGGGTCCAGCAGGGGGGGGGGGATTTTTGGGGGGGGGGGGGGAACCCCGGGCTCCGGAGGAAAAGGGCGGCAATGTTTCACAGTAAAACGGCGGTGGATCACGCTCTTTCAATGAAATAGATCGAATCATATCGATTGTGATATCGATCGAGTGAGATCGATCGAACGAGACTGATAGTGAGATCGATAGTACGATCGATAGTGAGACCGATCGAGTGAGACGTTGGTTCCCCCCCCGAACCTCTTTATCACCCGAAGGGTGGTCGTATCAGACTGCGTGGAGCGGCATGTCCCCTCGCGCTGTGACCCTCACATGGTTTTCGCAACCCTCCCGTGTTGGGTCTTGGTTTTGAACCCACAATGCCGCGACTCCTGCTTCTCCTCCTCCCTCTCCTCCCTCGACCTCCTCATCGTCATCCTCTTCCTTCTTTGCATTCTGGCACACCCCTCACACGCTTCGTGACCCCATAGGGCGCTCCACCGAAGGCCCCGATGGCTGCGTCCGCATGCGGCACCGCCCGATTTCAGCAGACCTTTCACACGTTTCGTGGCCGCTGACCTCCCGCGGTGTCCATCGGGGCCCTTTTGCACAAGCTCCGCCATGAGCCCTCCAAGGTGTCCACGAAATGCGGGGCCTCCTGCTCCTCCGCAGCCGTCTCTCCCAGCGGCCAGGGCCACGGGCCTGTCGGCCCCTTCGGCATCTACTGCCTCCTTCTGAACCCCGCCTCCTAGACGACTGTCCAGACAAGGGCCGTTGTCTCCGATCTCGATCACGGTTTTGGCAGCAATCTCCGACGCGGCCACGGTCGCGATCGCGGTCGCGGCCCCGTCGATCAGTCACATTCTTCCTCAGATACCGCAGCGCGCTGGACTTCGCAAGGAAGCGCGGCGGGGTCTTCCTGGAACACGCCGCAATCCTGGGGTCGCGGATCTCGTCGGGCCCTCCCTTGCACTCTCCGCGCTCACTCGGGCCCGAGAGCTACTTGCACGCAGGCCAGTCGGCGGGGTCATCCGACGCTCCATTTAACATGACTTCGAGGGGGCTTGCCACCTCGGCCTCGGCAGCAGGCGCCGCCGCTGGCCGGGCCTCCTGGGGCCGGCGCCCCTCCTGACTCCCGGCTAGGGGGGGTTATCCGCGTGCCTCCAGGGGCAATTGGGGATCCCACACTTTTCCCTATCATGCACCACTTTCCTTTCCAACGGGCATCGCCCCCCGCCACGTCGCCGGCGCGCCGCTGTCCTCCCGGCCGACGCCTCGGGAGCTAATGGGTCGGATGAGAAAGCCTGACCGTCGCCGCGGTGGAGCTCGAAGCCCCTGGCCCGCTGCGCCGCGCATCTACTCGCGGTTGTCCCCCATGTCTCCGAACACTGTCGAGCACACTGCATACGCGCGCACATTGCGCCTGATCTCGCGCAGATGGCGACCGCATCCCGGAGACTCCAGGAACTCCATTCTGCAGGGCGGAGGCGGGTCGGGGACCTGCTCGGCAGCGCCACTAGTCGGCATGCATTTGCCCTGCGGGCACAGGCATTCGCGGGGCCCTCTTTCACATCTCCGGACGAATCGATCCGGATACCACCTGCCGCGAAGGACTGGAAGGTCCCAGAAGGCCCGTCGCGGCCCATCGCCTGGCTGTCTCGACCAAACCGTTCGATCTCACACGCGACCGCGCTGGAATAATGCCAGCTTTGCGGCGCCCTGCGCTCGGTTCCGCCGCCCTTCCTCGGATGGCCCGGCAATGCGAACCGACCCACAGCGCTACGCTTCCGCGGCGCAGTCCACGAAGACCTCGGCCCTGGCGAGCGCCAGGCCCGCTCTCCGCACGTTCCGGCGACGCTTCCCCCATCGGGCTTCGAAATCGAGGCAACTCCTTATTGCCGACTCATCCAAGTTGCCCCACAACGCACGCGCCCTGATCTGCCTCTCGCCCCGGGCCCCCGTGCACTGAGAAAGACGTCGTCGGATCTTCTCACGCGTCCTCTTCGACCTCCTCGGGCATCTGCCCGTCGCCCCTGGCATCATGGATGATACAGTCGCAGATGCTCATCCAAGTGCCCGCCAGACAGTTCTCGATGGCCCTGACCATCTCGCTCGGCCCCACGCCTCTGGCGCCTTTCGCCACGCTGCAGATGTCCTCGAAGATGTGTTCGCGAAGTCCTCGGCACCCCACGGGCAT